ATAAGAGACAGTTATTATTATTATTATTATTATTATTATTATTATTATTATTATTATTATTATTATTATTATTATTATTATTATTATTATCAATTCCTGGAGTCCACTACTTTTGTGTGCTACTTTTTCACTGCTTTTGCCTTATGTTTGGTGGAAGGGATTGGTCTTTTTTTGTGCTTGTTACAGCATGAGCTCTTAACTTTCTATCCAGAGCACCACACCATCAGGGACACTTGGGTAATTGCTGCCCATTTGTTTGGTTTTTATTTTAGTACCCAGCTAAATCAGTTTTGCATGTGTGCCCCAAATTAATTTCATATCTTTGTGTTCTTTCTTCTCATAACCATCTTCTGTAAATTGAGAATTATTTTTTTTCTTTTGGGATATTAGTTTGCATCCAAGTATTTTTTTATATACCCTTGAGGTATATCAGACCACATCTGTCTGAAGGCATTTCATTTTTTGTGTTAATATTCTGAACATTTTGCTCTTGATTGTTTGCACAGTGGAAAAAAAATGCTACTTGTCCATAGTAGTATGAGTACAAAAAGGTAAATATATTATTTCAAATCCTGTAGATCCAAAATCACAGTACGAGTACATTGTTGATGTTGACGTACTCCTATTTTGTAGATGAAGGCGGGGTGGAAAAAAGCATGATGAGTAATTACTTCATCTTCCTTGGTCTGAAACGCTTGAGAACAGATTTTAGACTACACCTCATAGTCACCTACAGTTGATCCCTTTTAGTAAGGGCCCGTATTGCAGAGAAAAGTGTCATAACCTTTCCTTTTCATTTTAGAGATATAAGATGCTACTGTTCTGTCATGGTCTACTGAGCCAACAGTCTTCCCTAAATTAAGAAAACAGTTCTTTTAGTTTCATTGGAAGTGGAAGTTCTCAAGAAATTGAAATAGAGCGTTTCCTTGCTCTCAAATGGACTGACCTCTTTTGTACCATATATAACACTGTGAATCAATTAATTTCTTACAAGCTGCCTTAGTGGTATTGGTGAAATTTCACACTTCAACTGAAAAAAAAAAAAATTGTTAGCAGCACAGCTTTCTTCAGATGTAGAAATTTTTTTTGTTGAAGTACAGTGCAGTTAGATATGTTTTGAGGTTGGGTGTGGGGCAGTGCGGTAGTTAGTAGATCATAGCAACAATAGCTTAGCATTATAAAGGGAAAAAATGTCTTTGCTTCAGCTGGAATTTAGGCAGCCCTTTATGAGCTGTAGGTTATGTGGACATTATAGCAAATAATGAAACTGGCTGAGAATAGAGTTTTTAGGCCTCTGACAACCTTCTGAGCATCATTGCTCATAATATCCTTCATCGAATAATTAACAGTCACCTAAAGCTTGCAAAATCTGAACCTCACGTGGTCTGGGATACCCTTCAAAGACATTCAGCAGATTTTCTCAGTTTTTCAAAGTTCCTATTGCCGGCCAAGGAATGTTTTCCCATGGTGTATCTGTACATTTACTTTGTATGCTGGCTGTCTTCCCAGGTGCACAGAGCTAACCATACCCTGTTTTGCAGGTCCTCTTTCAGCTCTGGGTAGGGCAGAGTTCAGAATTCTTCAGAAGGCTGGTGCTGCTTCTCTCCCCAGCCAACGCATCCCCTAAGCCCTTGGTCTCCCCCGAACGGCTGCCTCATCATATCTTGTCTGATGTGACTCAAGGCCTACCTCATACACACGCTGCCTGCTTAGAGGAGCTTAAGCGAAGCTATGAGTTTTATCGATACTTTGAAACTCAGCATCAGTCAGGTTTTGAATGGCCAACCAGAACAAAGCAGAAGTCAAGAGAGCTGAACAGTCTTCAGGCAGCGGTACGCAGCTTGCAGCTTCATCTCAAGGCACTGCTCAATGAGTAAGTTTACACATGAATTATGAGAATATGCCTGTAGGAAGAAGGCTTCAAACTTGAGTTCTTTGAGTTGTCAGCTTGTATCCCAGATTAAAACCATAAAAGGCAGATATGTATAGTCATATCTATGACTATATCATATATAGTCATATCTATGCAATGATAGGCATATCTTCACATAGTAGGAGGTCAAAGATCCTTGGTTCATATGGAATCTGATATTGTTTCTTGGTTATTTAAGTATCTGGTGAAAATTCAAAGCTAAGCAGTGCATTAAGATCTTGCCTCTCTTATGTCACTCCCTTGAAAAATTCTGAAAACATCTTTCATCAATTTTGCAACATACTAAATGCTTTGTAAGAAAGTTTAGCTCATAGTAACTACCTAGTAAATGTTTTTAAAGATTCCTCACTGCCTTGGTGAAATAGTTGAAACTGTCCTACTCCTTTAATCTTACATATAAGAATTACTAAAGTGAATGCAGGAGCGCAATGTATCGATGTGGAGAAAATGATTATTTTTTAAATTTTGGGTCATCTTTGAGGAGTTGGCTGAGATAGATTCTTAAAACTTGAAGAAATTAACAGAATATTAAATTAAATACTTGAAGGAATGATGAAGTCAGGTATTTATTCTTACTTATTTCCTTTCACCTTCTCATCACTTAGGGTAATAATTCTTGAGGATGAACTTGAGAAAATTGTTAGCACTAAGGAGACACCTGAGTTGACAACAGAAGCCCATCAGGTTCTGGAACAAAAACTAAAGTTTATTCAGCCTCATATCCAGGCAAGCAACAGCTGCTGGGAAGAAGCCATTTCTCAGGTGGAAAAAATGAGTGGAAGAAACACGAATAAAAAAGGTAAATGTGAGAGAGAATTTTAACAACTAATGGGATACACTCTAGAGATTTAATGGTCAAATGGATCAAAACAGTGGTCAGCCCATGTATCAGAATTTTAGCTGAAGAAGGTCTTACCACTATACAGCTTGGAAAACTATATACGTATGTCAGACTTTTTCGTTGTGATGACCTTTTGTTTGATGTGCTTTTGTTTCAGAAAAAAAAGTAAACACGTTAACTCAGTCTGTTAGACCTGTGGATTCAGATTGTTACATTTCCAGGTGTAGACCGATAATGGCTTTTTACCTTTGATTGGTGAATCACATGTGAAGGGCTAGGATTTTAATGAACCATCCCTGATATTTTAATTTATTTACTGAGTAAAAGTTACATAGTTAATTGAAATGACAATGGCTTTGTCATGAAACTTTCTTGACAATAACATTTCCTTGAACATTTTAAATTGTAGAAGATGTATGGAACATATAATACCCATTTGCCTGCTTTCTGAGAGAGAGCACTAATCTAGAGCTGATCTTCTGTGTGCTTAAAAGTCACACTGAGCCCATATCACAATGTTTTGCCTCATTTCCCTCTCCTCAGTGACCTGTACTACCCATGTGGTTCTTGTGAATCATAACTAGCTTAATTAATGAAGTGAGCTCAGGCTCTCCTGACATGGAGTTGAACCTATAATTTCTAATCTTTCTTTTCTTCCAGGAGCTTTTTTTACTGTCCTAGGAAGTCACAGGCCAGCATCTGAAAAATGCTGGTAATGGAGACTGCATTAGGAAAATTATGACTTGGGGTATCAGCAAGTTACCTACAGAAAACCAAATCTGTAGTGAGCTACGCTCTTAATGATACATGGGTGGGATATCCAGTAGATAGACAGACTGCTGTGGGCCTAGAGGTGTTCAAGCTGACCTTGTTCATGCTTACATCAGAACTGGGAGCACTGGGAGGCCTAATGCAGGCTCCGTGCAGGTCCAGACATGGTATAACTAAATTTGTGTGTACTTTGCCTGATAGTCTAGTCTTATAACTTCCATCTCAGTGCTGCATAAAACAACCTATAAGGATATTAGATGTGGTCTGATACATTTGCATGTACTGGCCTGTTGTGTTTTGTTGATGCCCTCAACAATCAGCAGTTCCACTGATTTTTATTTTTTTTCCCCTTTCCTTAAATGCTCTTCTAGACTGCACGCCATAGGATTTTTAGTTATTTTAGTTTTATTTTTACTTTGTATATAAATATCACAGCAGGCATTTTTATGGTAATTTGCTTCCTTTTAAAGTTCAGTACAAAAATAACCTAGTGTGTGATCCTAGAAGGGAAGGGACTGTGTGAGAAATAAAAAATTCCAAAATCCTTCACTTTCACTTTTGACTGGTGACATTCCTGAAAATGTGCTAGTGTTGAATCTCTTATCTGGCAACAAGTTTACTGAATTACTCCACAGGAGCTACTTTTAAATTACATTGGTCATTGAAAACTATTTTTATCTGACTACTTTGACTTTCCTGATGTATTTCTAATCAGACCAGCTTCTGTGAGCTGACCTTTTCAAGCTGTGCATAAAATCAAGTCTAATTCTTCTGCTGTCTTTCTACAAATCTTAACAGCTGGCTGCCAGTTACGATTATGTGAATTACTTCATTAAATCATCTTGGCTTTTTTTCAATGTTTCCTGAAAGCTCTTTGGAAGAAGACACCTTCCTGATGAAATAATATAGCAGCTAAGCACATCTTTCTTTTTTTATACACTATTATCCAAAACTAAATTAATCTTTTGACAAGACCTCTAGTAAGAACCCCGTGGTAGTAAACTGTTGTGTCTAAGTGGATGCCCAACACTTTTGCTGCAATAGATGTTTAGTTCAACTAACTAGTTCAACCAGTAGAGCAGTAGAAATACCATTTTCAATGTCAGTTATGAACACTGCTGAAGAGGCAGCTGTTTGTGATGGCTTAGACCCAGTTTTGAGAGGAAATATTTCATTACCTAAAAGCTGTATATATTTGTTAAATATTTTTAAAAGCAGTATCTCATAATTGTGCTTAGTATTTAAACAAAGTAAGGCTTTTTTCTTCTTTATCTATAACTACAAATGTGTCCAGTATTTAAATTTACTGTTTGCTTGGGTTTCATTCTGACCATGTTTATATACTAAGCAAAAACATATCTTTGCTTGTCTGTCTTTGTTCCTATTACTCTCAGCACTGGAAGGTTTTCTTCCATGAGAAGTAGAACTCAGCTCAGTAGCTGCAGCAGCAAATGGCCCATGTTGCTCCTCAGAGAGGAAGAAACTGGGAACATATTGGTCCATCCAGCATCAGCGTGCTTTCAACAAAAGCAGGAGTTGGAAGTTTCCAACCACTAAGGAGCTGTTTTGAACTGTGGGCTATCCTAGTTGTAGCATCATGTATAGCTGCCTATCACTTATTTTCAGAGCAGTTTTGTGTATATTTAGTTGTTTTCAGCTTAAACAGATAAGTCTCCTTCCACAAGCACTACATACTTCTTGCCCTAAATCATTATGTGTCAAAGCAGGTTTCTCAAGCTATGTTAAATAGTTCATTTTGTCAAACTGTCCAAGCCAAGCCTTGAAGTCTAACTGACTGAACATTCATACACTCCCATCAGCTTTTCATGGGTGATGATACTAGTATATATTATAGTATATGGTCACTTTAGTTGAATGCTGTTTGGCCTCTTTGTTTACAGGATATTTAGTATATTTCTAGAACCAGTGCGGTTAGTCACTGATCCTGTCAGATAGAGAAGAGCCTGAGAGCAAGTAGGGCTTTAGCACCTTGAGGGGAATTCACCTCTACTTAAATTCATTGGTTAATGATAGCCTTATTTATCATTGATCTACATGTAGATCTTCGCTTATTTCCAACATAAGTTGATTCTAGACTTTCAGTCATCTTTATTCTTTCACTTTTTGTCACTGATAAAACTGATTTACCACTTAAAGCCTCAACAATGTAAGCATGCAGTAATCTGCTGCTAATTTTACAGAATGGGATACCCTTTGTGGCTAGTTACAGTGTTGTTTTAATGATCTTTGAAATAATATCCCTCAAACTTTAAATTCAATGCTCTTTTAAACTGTCTTTATCTTTGCAAATGTATACAACTTTTTTAGATATTCATAAGAGCAAGGCCATAGTACTCTGCTGCAAGCTGCTGGATCTTGCAGTCCTTTAATTCACTGCACAGCAGCAATTTTAGTTAAACATTGTGAATTCATGATCTTGAAGCATATCCTTAGCAATGGCATCATCCCATATAGGTGGCAGACAGAGCAGTCTGTAGACTGTAGATATTAGAGCAGTCTGTAGTCTGTAGATTTTAGAGCAGCTGGTTTACTCCTAGTTTGGGAAGGCAAGCTTTTAATTGGTAACATCCATATACTCTTCCAAATTTGTCTTCATACCTTCAGGAGCATATTTCTATTGTTGCTGTCATTATTATTATTAAAATGTTTTTATTACAAGGCAAAGTTATGCAATGGACAAGGGGCCTTGATAAATATCTCCTGTCAATTTTCCATGTGTCAAATTTTACAACATGCTTCACCTTTCTTTTAAACTGCATTTAGATATTTCTGGAATATCAAATCTTTAGCTCAGCCCAGACAACTAGGGAATGACATACTTTCTTTGTTTGCAAAAGCAAGTAACTGAGCACCACTAAAATTGTCATTAATGTGAGCTGCATATTTTCCCTAAGTGTTCAGTGTATAGATTAAAAATTGAAAAGAGGGATAGGTGGGGCTCGGCAAGGTCATCTAGCCCATTTCCCTTCTCAAGGGTAAATTAGTGTTTGTGAGTAAATGTTGTTTACCTGTTTCTACAAACCTCTCTTTAGATACATTTTACAGTATTTCCAGCATCTATTCCAGCACTTAAGTCCATTACCAGCAGATGTCACCTCTCTTTTCTACCTTCCATATAGCTTCCTGGAAATTTGGCTTGATTATTTCCTCCAATCTTTTCCAATGATTTGAAGCTGTTTTGCCTATAGTTTTTCTATTTTACTTCTCTTTTTAAACTTGGGCACCAAGTCTGTTTTTTGCTTTTACCAATTTTTCTTGCCATCTGCAGGTTTTCAAAGTCAATAAAAATTTGGGGATTTGTTAGTTTAAGTATTTCAAGATTAACTTAATCAGACCCAGCTTATATCAAAATAGGTGTTATTTAAGTGCTCTCTAGTATTCTAATCAGCCTTCTCACTATTTTCGTGTGTGTCAGTCCTGCCTGAATGAGTCAAAAACATCATTCAACCCTCAATCTTTTTCTTTTTTTTTGCTCCCTTTTCTTCTTTCCTTCTAAAGGTAAACTTGAAGTTTCCTGTGACAACCTACAGCGTACTACAGTACCTTTAACACAGCCTGCCATATACATAGAAAACAAAGATCCAATCCCTGAAGAGCAGGTAAAAAAAAAAAAATAGGACTGTTTGAAAGAATAATTAGGGGGTTTGTTTGCTGTATCCATTCCTTTTTCAGTTGCTTGTGCAGTGATCTTCTTGTCTTGCCAAGACAGATCCAGTAGGTAACCAGTGCCATTTCATAACTGGACTTAGAGAAAAAGATTATGTATATTACTTTTGCTATTCCATGGGGAGGTATTCCCCATCCTGGAAAAAAAGAGCACTAGCGTTCACTTCTTCTCATATATATCATTAGAAGTAAGTGACAAAAGCAGAGCAGCAACACAAGTCAGAGTAATATAGAAAAAAAAAATGTGAACTGCTAAAAGGCAGTATATGAAATAGTCAAACTTGTATATTGTTAGATGAACTGACACAGATAAAAAAAGTTACAAGCTCCAGAACAAACCAGCCTGACTTTAGTTTGAGTAATCTCTGCAGTTTTGGATCCTAAAACAGACTGTGACACTGGACAGTTTTGTGGTGTTTGGAGAACTTGCGTGTTGGGCCATCTTGGAGAGAGGCTGGCCTCCTCCATCCCAGACCTGAGTGGCAGATGCATTCTGAAAGTACCCGTGCTCTGCTCTGTCCTTCCCTCACCTTCTCCCAAGCCTACCGACATGTATTCCTTCTAAATTTTTTTTCCATAACAAATTGCTAGGACTAATAACTTTACTGGCTGTCTGTTACAACATAAACAGAGCTCTGTTTTTTCATGCTTGTAAGCCAATATAGTTAAAATTGGAGGAGTTTGCTATTCTCAACAGCCTGTTACTAGGGATTTACAGAAGCTAAATTAGCAAGATGCCTGATTGAGGAGGAATTCCTTACAGTGTAAATTTAAAAAAAAAAAAATGTAACCCACATCATCATTGCTTATTTCCACCTGTAATTATGGGGAAATGGACTCCCATTTTCAAGATATATCGATTGATCATAATTGTGTATGAAAGTAAATCCTAGATGACTGCAATAAATTTAACTTTCAACGAGTGGACTTGCTCCAAAATTATACAAATATAACTGAAAGCAGTGTCAGATCCACTGGCTCTACTCAAACAGGACTCCATCCTATTACTGTGGTTGGCTTGTGTTGAGATCACTTGATTGTGCATCAGATTGTAGGACAAGGGTCTACACTGACAGTGAAGATCTTTTTTTTTCTTCTTCTTCTGTAGGAATTGGAAGCATATGTTGATTATTCAGATACAGATAATGAATACAAAAGGGAAGATTTTTACTGCTTTTCCCAGGAAGAAAGAGAGAGACAAGAACGAGAGAGACAAGAATCTAAGAGGGTGTTACAAGAATTGAAATCTGTACTGGGATTTAAAGCTTCAGAAATAGAAAGACAGAAGTGGAAACAGCTGCTATTCAGTGACCATGGTAAGCATTGCTTTTGAAAATTAATGCCTTTCTAAGAAAGGGTAGGTGTCTGCCATCAACTTCTGACTATGTTAGAATTTGGACAGTGCTTAGCTATAGTAATGTCTTCGATAGATCTGTGTGGTCTTAGTTTGCTATTCCATCTCTTCATATTACTTACAGCAATCATTTTACTATTTATTGAAAATAAGTCACAGAAATGGAAATTTGGCTCTAAACAAAACAGTGAGCTAAAATATTAAATGCACAAAATATTAAGAAAGCAGAACTGTCAGGAATAAACCATGAAAACAGAACTGACTTTATTTCATTGCTTTCCAGTAATATGAAATTAATCAGGGTGCATAAATAAATAAATAAATAAATAAATTACTTTCCAGAATTTAAAGAAACCTTCAGAGATTATCCCAGACTTATAAAAACATATAGGTTAAAGTGAAGAGCTAGTCTTTGCAAAATTAAAAGGTCATAAAAGAGTAAGACTGGCTTTAGTTTCCATGAGAAAGTAAGTATATAGAATATGGGTTTAAAAACAAACAAAACCACCAAACAAAACAACAAAAAAGCACCTAACAAGAAGAGTTCTTCTAAACTAGCCTTTACCAACTGTGAGAACTGCTCCATCCACTTGCACTTGAAGGCAGGAATATGAAAATTTCTCTTGCCTCAACCAGTCTGTCTCTGTTCCAGCAATGACTGGATACAACCTGATTCTTTGCACTGCTTGAGCTGTTTGATTTATTATCTTCAGAATTGGCAGTAGTTCATCTTTTCCTTTTTCCTTTCTTTTTTCCATTTTCATTCCTTCCTCTTAAAGATGAGTTAGGAAAAGCCCTCTAAAAAGTTTCAAGTTCTGTGTTATGAAAACCAACCCTCAAGTCTGGCAACATATCCAAGGATTCTGCTTCTGCCAATGTCTACCAGAAAAAAAGACCATGGATTGCATCTTTTAATAATTTATTGGGAGCACACAGTAACAGACCATACCTATTTATGAGACTGTTTCTGTTGACATCAAATCCACAAAAATACCTGTTCTTCACAACTTACTTCATGTCCATTTAGCTATGACTATGGTAGAAGAAATCACTTGGCCATTGGTAATGACTTCTCTTATAGTTGAATTAAAAAAAACTAAGACACCAGATTGCATCAGTCTGCTCAAGAACAGGGTTTCTGTATTATCATTCTGATGTTAGATGTGACACCACACAACTCTTCACATAAATCTCTTTGAATCTCCCCTTACTCCTTGCTGAAGGACAAGGAAGGAATCCTACCTCCAGTTCAGGTCTTGACAGATCTAGTGACTGCTGCAGAAAGAGTACTTCAGGAGAGCTTGTGTAGAATCTTTCCTTATCTAGTTTAGCATGTTACCTGTCCACATCCATATATCCTCAGGCCATTTGTGGCCATAGCTGGAAAGACTCAGATGACTCCTGTAGTCTTCATTAACTATTCACCTGAAAGCCTTTGTGGCTCATGTTTGTTCCTTTCCTTTCCATGTATAGGTACTACGTTGGTTTAGGATTAGAGATTCAGTGGTGGGGAGGGAGGAAAGTGTGATTTCCTCCAACTGCCTAAGACTGATCATTGATTACTTCCATCCTGTACAAAACTGGGAAAAAAAGAGGGCAGTTCATGAAGGTAATTAATATTGTCTCTTTTTGGCTCAGAGGCTGTGTGTGTCTAGTCTGAAAGACTGATATGGACAGCAGGCATAATATCTTCTACTGTTTTTTAAGGAATTTCTTCACTATGTCTTCAAAATAACCACAAGTCAGTTAAATATGACATAATGAACTCTGCCATATTATTGCTGCAGACTTTAATTTATCCGTACACACAAGTCATTCCTTAAAGAAACATTTTTGTGAGCTGTGTTTTCCACATTTGTGACTTACTTTATCTGGAGGATTTAAACCCAGAAAGATTCATTTTCTTGTTCTTATTGGCCCAAGCCAACGGATGGCCACAATATCATGCTTTTCCATAGCTCTCTTAAATCTTGCTTTTTCAGGACAATTGTATTCCAGAAATCCTGTGTTCTCCTAACTTGTGGTTATTGTAAAAAAAAGATCCTGAAATATTCAAAGGCTTTAGTCTGTTAGTCAAGGCACCCAGCAAGCCATTGTGATTTGTTAGGGGTTTTGGTTTGTTGAAGGAGGAGCTAGTGAGGGTTTCCACATAAAAGAGGTCAGCCCCAAACAAGTTGATATGTCTAAAGAACACAGCATGAAGTCAACTGGAGATGATAGATTGAATTCCAGGAGAAAAACACCATCTTAGCAGAGCACCAGACTAAAGCAAATTTGCCAAGGCCCAGCACCATGGTAATACTACTTACAGTAGGTAATTTATGGGCAGTAGGTAATTTATAGAAGTGCTGGTGACCTTATATTTTTTGTCATTTGGCATCCTCTTGAGCCTGTAAATTGGAAGTGCATTTGAAGAGGTCTGTGAAGTTGTTAGGGGCTTCGTTTTCATTTACCAGCCAAATGTTGGAAAACAACTTTGTCCTGGTGCAAAATCACTTCTAGTCTTTCCTCTAACCTTTTCCCCCGAAAAAGTTCATTCTGGCAGTGGATGTGTTGTACCCAGCTGTTTCCCCTTCTCCAACCTTGTCCATACAATAGTTCTTATACAGCTGTTTCTCAGAGTTGGGAAGCTACACTCTGAGAATTGATTAATTCCACCTCCCTTATTACCTAATCAACTCAGCAAATTGGCCAGCTACCAATCTGAAGTATCTGGGTTTCTTTAAAGAAATTTTGGCTTTGGAAGTATTCTTTGGAGGAAGTAGGCAACAAGTTCACTCTCAAACATTACTGTGCATATTCCTGCCTCTTCAAACAAATGGGCAGAAATAAGCAGGAGCATGTTCTTTACAAAATGGGGAGAGATCTACTCTATTAACAATCGAGATGAATCTGGTGCAGTGCTCCTTCGGTATATAAGGTTTTAAAACAAACAATACAGTACAAATTTGAAGCCACAGTCTTTCAGTGTGATAATGACAATAATTATCAATGTGACAACCACAATGATGAGCCTGTATTCAGCTAGCTAAAGTAAATATTACTAAAATAGGATGCGATGGAAAAATCAATACCGTAAATTTTGTTTCCCGTTAAAAGTTTGTGTATTGCCCAGAGTTATTTTCATCTCTGCTTACAGGGGTAAAGTCAGAATGGAATTAGAAAGGGAAATGCTACTTGGGAATCTGCTGTTGCCGCTCTCATTTATGTTCGTGCTGCTACTCTAATGGAGCTACTGCAGTTTAGGGAATCTGTTACTTGGAAATGGACATTATATCGTTTTCTTAAAAAGAAAGACGTCTGTTCTTCAAGAAGTGATTGTACCAAGTTATACTAACCCTTAACACTGGGAGAGGAGAGACTTCCTGGCAAGCATCCCGTTGCTGGCAATGGGACTCGCTGCTGCTACTAACTTCAAGAGAGGCTAAATTAAACCACACTTTATTTGTGAGGACACCTTACCTGACTGTATGAATACGTATTGTATTTATATGTTGTGGTGTATGAGATCAGATATTGCCTATGAGGACTTTTTCATGAACCAGCTGTCGTTAATGGATTAGGTAAACTGTTGCTTAAAACGAAGAAAGTTCTTATCTGTATACAGTGCAGTAGTTTTTCTTGGTTTTTACTTTAACATTGAATGCCTCATCTATGTTTGATGCCGGTTTTAAGCATCATCAATTTCGTGCTGTCTCTTTATGGCACAGATTTTAAGGAGTAGTTACAACAAGCAGCTATCACATTTCATTTCATCTTTGTGATTAGAAAACACTGTTTTATTTTAAGTTTTGTTTGATTGTGATTTTTGTTGTTTTGGGGTTTTTTTAAGCCATTTTGACCCTTACAATCTTGCATCTTTTCAGACACAAATAAATTATTTATATATAGCAGCTTGCTTTTAGTTATCATTTAATTTTTTTCCCCCTTTTTAAGCTGCAGTGAAACCCTTGTCTCCTGTAGAACTGCTGAAGCTACCAAATAATATGGAATCACATATGAATTCAGATACAGAAAATCAGGACTGCAGCCAAAGTTGTGATAAATCTGAAGAAAAAGACTATAATCCAAAAGTGAATGCTGCTGATAAAAGCAGGACAGAATACTTGTATGAAGATCCTGAGATGGAGAAAAACAAAGACAGTACTGCTGATGAAGGTATTTCTACAGGGGTTGAAGAAAGAATGTGTTATCAGCATGAAGGCGAAGTTGAAGAACTCAAGCCAAGCAATATGGATGGAGTAGAGGTTTCACAGTCTCCATCTAAGGATGCATTACATTCAAAAATCAAGCATAGGCTGGCCCAGCTCCACATATCAACAGATTTAAACTTCACGTCTGGTCTGGCTGCACAAGTTGCTGCCAGGTCTTTCACTTTTACTACAATGCAAGAAGAGACTTTTGGAGATGAGGAGGAGGACGAGGAGGAGGAGGAGGAGGAAGAGAAGACACAGGAGTGTGAAGACCTTGGGGAGGCCTGTGAGAATGAAGATAGAGGCTCTGAAAGTGAAGGAAAAGTATTAGTCTGAGCTGAACTTTGTGAAACCAACAGCAGGCAATTTTATGGAAAAAACTAAGGTGCAGGTTTGAAGATACTGGATGGAAAAAAAGGAGACCTAAATATAATACATCTTGTTCCCTAAGTCTGATACACTAAATAGGACTTCTAAGTATTTGAAAATTTGCAGGTAAGAGAAGTGTAGGCTACATCCAAGAAATAGTTGGCCGTTCCCTTTTTAAGATCCTAGTGGTGGGTTTTGGAATTTACCTTTCTGTTTTCTGTTTTATTTATTTATATTATAATGTAATGGGGGGGAGGGTGTTCTGAAAAAAAAAGGAAAAACAATGTCTTGAATCACAACAGACTGGATTTTTTCTCCGATTCTGCTGTCGTGGTATCGATGTTTGTTCCAACAAAAAAGCCAGGACATTTCTTTTTGGAAGAACCTGAACTGTTCCCTGTGATCTTTCCCCACCACTTTTGTTTTCACTACTTGTCTCTGCAGTGTGTTGGCTAAGCCACCGTAGGCATTTGTGATTCTGTGGCTAGTGATGTGGCTCCCAACTAAAATGTAGAATTTTAAATAAAAACTTGAAAAAGCTAGTATTTGATGTGTCTTGGGATATGGGGCTGAAATAGTATAAAGTTAGTCATGCTTCATATTAAGGTTTATTTAGAATTTTATGAAGGGTTAATAAATAATTTCTAGATCTTGTAATTCATGTTAATTCATGTGTAGTACATGTTAGGGAGAGTTAGAAACACATCAGTAGAAAGTACTGTAGGCATCTAGAAGCGATCTTTGGATTAATAATAGATGAGAAGTAAACACCTATTTATTAAAACAGGTATTAATTATTTGTTAACCTTTTGTAAATTGAACCTTAATATAATTGTTTGATTTGATATGATGATTGTTGGTACATTTTTGATTATGTCCTGAAGTAATTTTCTTAAAGCAAATACATCTGAGTGCTTAACATACAGTACTTTGTTTAAACAGCATATTTGCTTTTCCCTGATGGTCTTTCATTTTTCTTTAGATCACAGCTATAACCTGTGTGATTAAGATCCATGAGAGAACAAGAATTGTGTATTTTCTAAGGTGTATCTTGTAACTTAGTTGACACTGAAGTCTGGATGTTTGTTATGAGGTTATGTGGGTTGTTTTCTTTCTCTGTGGTGGTGTTATGAGGAGCAGCAAATGGATGCTCACCTCACAGAGGAGCTGGTTAATGGTTTCACTGCCTTCTCTTCCTTTTGCCCTCTGACACAAAATGAAACAAAGGCCTCATGTCTCTAATGGCAAGAGTGCTGCCTCTTTGTACAGAATACTCTCCTTGGGCCTGGATGCATTTCCAGTCACAAAACACCTCATCTGTTACTTAGGCGACTTATTGTCTCTTGCTGATTCTATAAAGGGTTTTTTAGATGCAAGTGGTTTGGCACAATATCTTTCCTTGGATGCTGCTGTGGGAGTTGGGGAAACTAATGAAGGTCAGCAACTTAGGGTGGCACTCTTGACCGTATGTCAGAAAACAAGAGCTTTCTTTCAGCCTCTCTCTCTGCTATTAGTGATTTTGTATGAATGCTGTTAAATATGTGGATTTTTTCACAAACCATGAAGAGGTAGATATCAACTGATAGAGAAGGGAATGTGACTTACACTGTTCTTTCACAATATTATGTCAGTATTCTCCCTCACACACGGATTTTGGGAAGATAAAGTTTTGCCTTTTTTCATTAACCAGTAATACTGTGTTCTGTGCCCTTAATTTTGTGTAGGTGACTGGAAGATGAATGGATGATGTCTTGGGGAACTCATAAAAGAAAAAAGAATGCTTCTCATAGTGTATTCAGAAGCTAAGCCTCCTCTTAGTGGTAGAATATATTCTTCTGTAACCTATAAAGTTTAGGTTAAGATGTTGAAAGCTGTTTTTATTTTCTCTGTGGTAAGCAGGTTATTTTACCAAGTCTAGAACAACTGCTTTGGATAAATTGTGTTTGAAGCATTGTCCATGCTTCTGGAAAAGAAGTCTTTCTCAACCTCGACTTGAGATCCTTGAGTTCACAAAGTGCCCAGATATTTTTTGTTCCTAGCTAATTGTTCTGTCTAAATGTTTGTTCCATTACTATTTTTTCATTAACTCATCCACCAGCATCTCATGAGCTGATGTGTATCCCAGAAGTGATACTCCTGAACTTTTCCCATGGGATGCAAACCTTAATTTACAATGTGTATAGCTACAATACCAACCTGGAAAAATGATCAGATTTAGGATACGAGTTATCATTGTTCTCAGTTTTGGATGAAGTCAGTAGTAGCCTGAGTGCTTTGCATTGTTACTAAAATAGGTTTCAGATCTCATGTTTATAACAGTTGTTAGCTTTTTATTCCTTTGCTGCAGTCTTAGTAAAAGACCTGGAGAATCTACTTTGGTGGCTTACTTAGGGCCAAGTTTTATAAGACACTGGTCTTGTTGATGAAACTGGCCTAAGAAACCCCATCATTTGTTCGTTTTCACTTACCAGCTGGGTCAACACAGGGTTTTGTGGCCATGTTATAAAGCAGCTCACTAGGGTCAAAATTTGGGTCAAAAACCCACCCTTTTTTAGAGGTTACTTTTCACTGTTCTTATTGCAGTGATGCAGTTTACAGCAGTTACCTCCAAACAGCTGTATCAGCACATACTGTGTTCCTGGCGTGAGACTCAGGGTTGCTCACATTTACATTATTGGCAAAGGTGATGTAGTGTGAAATTGCAGCCTTAACGTTAGACATGGGTATGATCAAAGTATGACTTTTTGGAGCAAGTTCTGATCCTATTTTGAACAAATAGATTTTTCTACAAGCAATTTAACTATTTTCCGTGGTTTTACTTAATGCAGTCTTAGAAGCTACACATATGAACACCTGGGCTCACTTGCTTTCTCTGCTTCATTACAGCTATATGTAACAGCCATCAATTAGTTTGATCAATCATTTCTTTTGATTTATTTAATATTCTCCCTGCACAAAACTATGGCTAACAGTGTGCAGCACACAAAGCATGGCTTCCCTTGATTTTAAAACCAAGTTCCATCTACATAGAAATAGTAGAATCCAGATTACCTTATAATTATACAGATTACCTTATAATTACCTTATAATTATGTTATATAATTATGTCATTTGGAAGGACTGTACGTACATGCTGTAAATTCCTTCAAATTTCTTGACAATCGATTTCCTGACAGATTTCTTGGCAATCGTAATTTGTTGTTGCATTTAATATATATGCACACACTGAAATATGCATTAGTGCTAAAGACTTGTGTTATTAATAATATATTGAGCATGTCAAGGTCTGAGTGCTGTCCTATGTTCTTCAGCTCATTACTCTAGATAGAGATTTTTGTGAAAACAGAACTTCTTCAAGCTTTGTAACTTTTTGAAATGTGTTAATCAGGAAATCCATGCTAAATAATGGGTTATGCCAAAGGATAACAGCAGCCAAAATTCTTTGTGAAGAGCAGAGCTACCAATAAATGCATTTTCCCTAATCCATTTCTAATTAGCAGCTCTGTGAAGTTGTAAAGAACCAAGTAATTATATAGGGTTAAATAATTTCTTCTCCTCCTGTCCTACCTGGAAGGCACGCTACAGACAATATTTACTTCTTAGGTTGGATTGCAATCTAGCACTACATCTTTTATGTCACTTAACTTTACAGCTAACCACCTAGGTAAAGGCTTAAATGGGGGCAAAGATCTGTCCCTTTTTTTGGGTCTGTTGTCTTCGTGACAGAAATGAAATAGCAGAGTAATGGAAGCAAATTTTGAGAATTACAGATAATCGAGCATCTTTCAAATAGAGTCAATTGTGCCTGTGTCAACTATAAGGAAGATTCACAAATGTGAAGGCTTCCTGCTATCAGTTGCAGTAATGATAGGTTTACTCCTGACAGAGGTTTACTAGACATCACTGAATCTTGCCCTTATTTTTCTATATATAGTAGATGGAATCTGGTAGAGTAACCAGTTTTACTGAGATTTCAGACTTTGTGGTGAGCACGCCTATCTGTATGTGACCCAACTGTTTACAATATTGGAAATTTTATGTGTATCTGATGTGCAGATTTTGCAAATGTCTTATTTCTTTGTTAGTAAAAAACCATTTAAGTGGTGGACTGTGTAGAGTTTTTGGCCCACACTGAACTTTGTAATCTTGTATTCTATCCCTTTTTTTTTCTTTTTTTCCTTTTTCTTAACAGAAACAAGGGGTCAAATATACTAAACTGCCCGTGTTCTTTAAAGAAGTTAGTGAAGGGCTGCTTGTTGCTGCAAGTGGCTTGTTCCCAGGGCTAATTACTCTTTAGAATTAACAGGTTTTCATACTGTCTTATCTGAAAAAGCAGGCAGAGTGTGAGAATGGCACTTGGTCAGTATAAAGGTTCAGGCTACTCTGGGATCTTGTCTGGGACAGGAACTAGTAGCAGATGCTGAAGGAAGAGTATGAGAAAAGAGAGATTGTGTAGTGATGTTTCCCGAGGCTACTCCCCAACAATTTGTGGCTCGGGGACTTGTTGAGCCAGTGGTAGTGGCTGTCAGCTTCACACGTCCCAATGGAATTCTCTTCTATAAATTTCTTCAGTCTCATGTTTGGTCAATTGTCACTAGTCCCAATGCCACTATGCGCTCATCTTTATTACAGTCTTTTACAAACAAGAAGATTTGTCAATAATGTTTTTTAATTTTCTTTTTTAAACTGAGCAAGCCCACTTCTCTCAGTCCTTCTGCAGAGGTCATGTTTTCCACCTTTTGGTTGCTTTCCTTAGAAATCTGTCCAGTTTTTGAAGTACTCCAGACGTAAAATCGGCAGTGGTAAGGTTAGAGTAATAATCACCTCACATAAACCACTGAAGCATTCAAATATATTTGAGTCCATATAGGAAAAAATTCTTTTCTGATCTTTTACCCTTAGCTATTAGGATGACAAATAAAAATATTTGGTCTAACAGAGGAGAAATATTTATTCAATTTCAGCAGGATTTGACTGACAATGTTTTTCTTTGCTAACAAAATGAAAAGTTGTTAAATCAAAATGATCTTCCAAAAGCTGCCACCTGGTCTACCACAAACTAAAGATGCCAAACAACACTTGTTTCAATTTCAGCTTGACTTTTTAGAGCTGTTCTGGTCTCTGATGAATAAGCTTGTATCACAAAATATATTATTGCATAAGAAACATGGCAGTGGATATATAGATATCAGGGATCAAACAGAAGGCTTCTGTGGTTAACTTTTAAAGTGCTTGGAGGTTTATGCTTTATTTGCATTCTCATTATATTCAGTTCCCTTATGTATGTTTTTATTTTACCACCTTGAATTTTATTTGACTTGGAAATTTGTGCAGTAATCAGATGTAATGGTACTGTAACTGTGATGATAAGATGTGGTCCTAGGTAGGGGGTGAAATCTACCTACCATGAACATTTGTAGATGGATAAAGCAGTATAGTTTGAGCTACAGATCAATATGTAACTGTTCTCAATACTCTGCCTCACCTTTCACACTGCCGTCTCTTTAATTATGGGCAGATTTGCCAGAATAAAACTTGACTCAACAGCTTGAATGCTCTATTAGCCCACATTACACTTTTTGAATTGAACATAAGATTTTGAAGAAGTGATTATAATTTAGTAGAGGAGGAAAAATAGTTTGTTTGTTACAAAGTAGCTTATTTTAAAAGGGTTAAATAGGACCATACTTGAATACTTTCACGTGATCAGCATATTTTGACCTTTATACCTTCTCAGCTTTATATCTGAAAGGCCTCACAGACAGTCTGCTTTAGGGAATGCTGTTCTATAGCAGCATAAACCAGTCCAAGTCCAGGCTGCCACAGCCCTGCCATGGCTTTGCAATCTCAGTCCCCCCTTTAGGCTGGCTTTTGTAATAACTCAGTGATTCAGAACATGGATCTGGCTGAAAATGCACCACTGCTATAACTTGCAGCTGGCTCCCTCAACTAATTTGTTGTGTCGTTGAAAGAGCAGTAGTAGCATCTCAGGGGAGAGGGAGGAAGTACATGCCTGGGTGATGAGGAGGAATGCCATAGCTCAAATTTAAATCAGTTTGAATTAATGTTTACATGCTGTGAGTTACATCATTAGTGTCTCTACTGAAGTGGCAGAAACTCAACTCCGTATGTTGCTTCCTTCATCTCCATATTTTGTGTTGATTGAGGATGATGCCACTCATTATTTTCCTCACTCATTTTGACTCAATTTTTTTTGTTCTTCAGGCCTAGGCTGCCCAAGACCTGTTGTGCCTGTTGTGTCTTACTCCACAGAGTATCTATGGACTGTTTATTATACTGCCAGCAAAACTGAAATTACCATGCATGGTTTTTTTCTGCTGTTTAACCCTTCTGGTCTGTCTTGACACCCATGCTCCTCTCCCTTTACCACCACTCTTAAGAGGTTCAGATTTTAAAATAATACACAAATTCTTTTTGTGTGTGTTTGTAACACAGCTTGATTCTTCTGTATCTTCAGCATTGGAATGACTAGATCTAGAAATGTATACTGACTTTCCCACTTGACTTGAGAACTGAAACAGAAGGTAGACACCATAATGGAGAGTACTACAGTCAAAATGGAAATAGTAATGTATAGCAGCTCAAATTTATACCACACTTTTGGTGTATATTGGGCTTTTATAAGTAATTCTGACTTACTGAAACACACCAGTTGTGTTTTAGAAATCACTGTAATTCACATACAAGATCCCCAAATAAGTATCATTAGTTGGCTTGATTTTTGCTCAAATCTTAATATTTAAAGACTGCTTCCTGACCTTCTCCAGCTGCATGGACGAGAACTGAAAATCATCTCAAATTTCCAAATAGAGAGTGACCAGTGCTTTCCGTTACTTTGTGCTATTAAAAAGAGGTCCATTCCTAAATAAAAAAAAAAAGAGAGAGAGAAAAGTCAGTGCTTAATATCTTCAGCAGTCATCATGCATTTGATCTCAATAAAAGCACCATAAATGAGGGCTGTTTTATAATGTTTGATATATCTGTTTCTAAAATAATAATAATAGGCTTTAAATGTATTATGGGATATAAGCCAGAAATCTATGAATTGTCCTCCAGATCTTTCATCCAAAGCAACAGCTGGTCAGATTTAAACAAGTTCATGATGTCTGTTCCTGCATTGCTCAGTATGACATTGTACTCAAAGTTTTTAATGTCCTAGCGTGAGTGTTCACAGACAGTCTGCATGCACATATGAAATGGCAGGTTACAGGAAATCCACACCAATGTGCTGCTGGACATTCCCAGTCATAAACTTGTAAACAGAAAGATTCTTAGGGCTGGTAAATTGTCTGTCCTGATTTTCTTTCCAAGGAGCTTTGACCTGCATTTCAATCCGGCCCTTCCCGATCCTTTCTGGACTTCAGAACATTCACTTCCAGAAATCTCCCTCCTTAATGATCATAAGATGGTAATGTCTCCTCAGCAAGACTGTTTGAACACATATTCTTCATTACATGAGCTTTACTTCTTGTTTCCAACAGGAGTGTGGCAGTTATGGCTGAGTCTGTGTTCCCCTGAACAAGCTTGCTTCTTCCTGCAGTGGGGGCTGGAAACAAGCTCTCTGGCTGCTATGCCAATATGTTTTGGCTCCACAGCTGCCTACCCTTGAGCTCTGGAAGCTCTGGGATCTAGCAGTCACACTTAAACCTTTCCCACTGTCAATGATCACATGTTTTCAGAACACAATTACTACTAACCTCACCTGAATTGAACCATTCTGAATTTTTATTGAGCAGCATTAATGGATTGTTTCTTAACTTAGTTTGAGGGATTCATGTGAGGGTTTATATATATATATACACATATATATATATATATATATACACCCACACTCTTCATATTGTACATGTGTATTGACAGGTATCACACTGAAAGGCTTGTCTAACAAAGAACTATTTTTCTCATATCAAACTTCCCAGTTACTTACTCAGAAGGTAAACAAAAACTTAATTCTTGCTGTCTAATGGCAAAAGAACTGAATTCTGTTCTGCATGCTGATTTTACACCCTTAATTAGAAGAGCTATTTAACCT